GTACCTGGGCCCGCCTACTATCCTCGGAAACGTAAAATGATTGGCTAGAATCTAAAGTGTGTCACAGCTCAGGAAAATAAAGCACCAAAATGTGCGCTGCTTTTTGGTCTGGTTACTACTGTTTATGACAGAATATTTTATAGGAGCTAAAGTCATTTAGCTTTTAAAAAAAAATAAATAAAAAATTCTTGTGTTTAAAGTTCAAACTCAACAGTGCGGTTGATCATTGATTTGTGTATCCATGTGGTTTGTGTGAATGAGTAGCACCAGGAGCTGATGGCTCAGTATGAGAAGAAGCAGAAGGAGCTGAAGAACCTGTGCATGGAGGAAGGCCAGCTGAAGCGAGCTTTGGGCATGAAGCAGGATAAGGAGTGCAAACAGAACATCCGCAGGCAGAAGAAGAGAGAGACGAAGGAGCAGCACGTTCAGGAAGTGTTGGGGTATTAACTTTAGTGGAGTTAATAAACGGCAGGATTCATGATGCGGTGGTTTCACAAGAGCGTTGTATTTCCGAAAGACTTAAATGTGATAAACTGACATATTAAAAACCAAACTTAACTTTTCTGCAGGCAGTGTGACCAAATCCACCAGAAGCGTGAGGACATGGCTGACAAAATCCAAGAGATCTCCGCTGAGACGCAGAAGCTGAAGAGCAGCATTAAGAGCCTGAGAGACGTGTGCAGCAAAGAGACAGAGAAGGCTCAGGTACAAGCAGCTCCCGTCTGCTCGCTGTTCATTCATAGTTTGAGAGTAACACGATCCCCTTCTGTGTCCAGGCTCTCTATGACACACTGTCCACATCCATGGATGAACTCCACAAGAGGATTGAGATGCACACCATGGACCTGAAACTCAATCTAACCAAGATGTCTGCAAACTTCTAATCTCTCTCTTTTTCTTTTTTTGTAAACCTGTATTTACTAATCTGTTGTCGTTTTTTTTTTTACTCGTCTTTGTATTTCTGAGTATTTAAAATCTATAAATAAAGTTTGTACATTAATGAACTTGAATTTTGTCACGTTTTGACACATATAAATAAAACCAGTCCAGGAAGACGACTGATGTCAAACATCAACCGACTAGTACAATACAACCTCACACTGCTGGACCGGCCATCAGCCCACCGGTGATTTTTCGTTTTTATGAGCCAATGTTGTTTGTAACGGTATGAACAATGAAAGGTGGTGGACTGGACAACTGGTTAATCAACTCTGGGCTGGACCAATTACAGCTGAGGTCAGATGCACCCTCCCCCTTGCTTGGGCAACGACTCTGAAAGCAATTTCATCACAGACAAACAGAAGAAAACGGTACTGAGAGGAAAAGGAATGCGATTTCTCCCATACTTCAGCTAGAATGCGTCTTTACGCTGGACAGCTGCCTCCTCTCCTCTCCCCCTCCCTCTCCTGTTGCTACTTCAATCATGAAACTGATCAATGATCAGCTGATCGGCTTTTCTGTCACAAGTCCCGTCTCTCTTGTTTATCGCCCACTTTGCGCCAGAAAGAGGAAACCAGTGGATGTCAGGTAGGGCATAAACAGGGAAAGACGGGCACAAAGAAATACTTTTCTTTCTTATTCTCATTTAAAATGTCTCGCTTTTAATAAATAATTATCTGAATCTTACAACTAAAGTTTTTATCTGATGTAAAATGTATAGAAGTCACATCACCTTACCATTGATTTCATATATGCAAAATACGCAGAGCTGATGTAGATGCTGCATAAGACCAACAGCACGTGTATGTTTTAACTAAAATAACACGTGTGGTGCTGGGACACCAGGGAGGGACTAGCTTTAATAGTGGATCTGTTTAGAAATGTAGCCTTATCCATTGAAGTGTTCATTCCAGAATGTAAATATTGTGTGGCTGTTGGGAATTTCTGTGGTTGAGGAATATTAATGAATACACAAATAATTTCTTAAGTGCTCACCAATAGGAGGGGAGAAGTTGCAAAGTGCAGAGAAATGAAGATTTGTAAACCATTTGAACATGTGGATGGTTACTGTGAGGCTGCAGCAGATCTATAGATGGTTAAGAAATTCTTTTAGAAACTATCTGCATGGCTGCTATAAAGCTGATGTTTATGACACCTGTTTTAAAGAGCACACAAGTAGGTTGGATGGTGGGAATGATAAGAACCTGGAGATATTGGTTTGTGTCCTTTCACTCAACATTCAATTTTGTTTTTATTTTCCCTTGTATCTATGAAGCGCCTTGAGGCGACATTTGTTGTGATTTGGCGCTATATAAATAAAATTGAATTGAATTGAATTTTCTTTGGTTTAGACACTAGAACTACATGTTTAGGCTAAAAATGAAAATGATATATATATATTGCAGTTGTGACATGAGGAATAAGACTCGCCTCACTACACAGGGCCACTGCTAAAGGACATCTTTTGTATACATTGGAGACACCAGCGTCTTTGGCTAAACATCAGTATTTGACTTCCTGGAAATGAGAACAGGTTCACTGGTCAGTGATCAAACCTTTATCAATATGATTGTTTTCTGCAGTAAATTTCTATGGTAACATACAAATCCACACGTTCATTATCAAAGTGAATACAACAATCTTACTAACAACTTTCTTCTTCTATGATTTTCATGTGTATCTGCTGCTGTGTGTTAGTTGCAGAGCTATCGCTGAGGTAAAAGACGATCAGCTGACTCCTAGCTGTTTGGGCAGGCTGCTTCTTCTAAGATGGGCTGTGACTTCTTGGGCTTCTTTAAGAGAGCCACCTGAGCTCTGACGTCTTTAGCCTGAGTCCTGGCCAAATGCAGCTCCTTCCGCAGCTCGTTGATTTCAGCTATCAGAGTCATGTTTTCCTGCAAAGTCCAAAGTCGTGGCTAGATAACTATCAATTCAGCAGGTCTTTACTCCACATTACACTTTCACACTCTGTCATACAGGATATGTTAAGACTTCAGAGTTGCATTGTTAATGACTAATGCCAACGTGCTGTTGTGATCTGGGTAATGACTAACCTTCATGATTTTGGTGTAGACCTTTTCGTGCTCCTCTGCAGATTTGACCAGCCTCATTTTGAGGCCATTTACTGTCCTCTCCTGTCGATCACACTGGTGACGCAGCGCCTTCTGAACAGTATCATCTGCATTGGTTCTCTCCACCTTCCAAACGGGACATACACTTGACAGTTTGATTTCAAGCCCTCCCAGCATCCAGGCAGCTCTTGGGGTATTTCTTAGCACACTTACCCTTTCAGTCTGCTGGACATATCGAGCGTATATCATCTGTATGTTGTTCTTCAGGGTTTTAGGCTCCTGGATGAAGCCGACGCAGTTGTGCAGGTCTGATTTCAATCGCTGGAGATGCGTCTCCAAATCTTTGACCTGACGACAAAAAACAAGAGAAGCCCATTCTTATATTAAAAAATGATTTTTATTACACTTTTATCCTCAAAGCTTAAAGAGGATTTATTCTGCTCACTTCCAGCTTCATATTTTTATTCCTCGATTTTACTACAGTACATGTAACCCAGTAGATTCACAGTTAAAAAATCATCATTTACCTTATACTTGGCCTTCATGCAGCTGTTCACCTCGTGTCTGAAACAGGTTTTAGTTTCCGCCACCCTACAATTCCTCTGATTGGCTGCCACTTGTAAGCAAGAGCTTTTGGGTGGAGCCAAAGTCCTTCTAGGACCTAATCTCGCCACTCGGCAGTAATGTTAGCAGTACCTCAAATCTGATTAAAAAAAAGAGTTGCTGATTTTGATTCTGGCCCAGTGGGTTTAAAAAGTTTTCTTTGCAGATTTCTCCATTAGACTTCAATTCAAGATTCTCTGAATGCCACTTCTTTCTCAAAAGAGTTAGGTCCACAATTATTTGCACAATGACACAGATTATGTAGTTTTGCCTCTTTACTTTAAAAAAGAAGCGTTGTTTGTTTACTGACCTTCTGACTCTCTTTGCACATCTCTTTGTCTCTGGTCTTCAGTTTGAGCTTCAGCTCAGAGACGGTGAGCTTCAGCTGAGCATTGCTCTTGTCGGTTTG